CTTTGTTCTTCCTCTATATGGATTTACTTCCTCCCCCTGGGAGGAGGGGGGCTCCACTTCCAAAACAAGTGGTTGTTGCCACCGTGGCAATGGAAGGTTTAATAAAACTTTCGGTCCAGCGCATTTACCAGATGTTGCAGCCAGCGCTGTGCCAAGGGCACCCTGTGCTACACCTGCCGCCCCGGCTGCCTGGAAAGCTCTGCTGATGTGCGAGCATCAAACGGCCTGAGGCGTGAGTCCAGGTCTTCAGAGACCTCACCCTGGCAGGGATCCCTGTTGCCCAGTTTTAGGCGCTTGGCCTGAGATGCTCTAGAGCTGTGGGCAGGGCTGGACCAATGCACCGGTTCTCTGAGGCCAGACACTGACTGCTTGGCAGCTCTTCTTCCATCCTTCTCCACTTCTTAGGCTGGAAGGTGGGTTTGAATCCCTCCCTCCAGGTGAGAGCTTGGATGAGGTGGCTGTTTTATACTCCTCTTCCAGCAGTTTTTAAAATCATGGATGGTAGCATTACATTCCTACAGGCACATTGCCTGCGTTCACGTATTAACAAATGTTTTATTTCCTGCTGCTGGCAGAGAGCTTTCTGCCTGCGTTCACGTATTAACAAATATTTTATTTCCTGCTGCTGGCAGAGAGCTTTCTCAGGCCTTGGGAGAAGGCGGCAAAGATGGACAATAGAGGGTGATGTCTTCTGGTGCTGTTAAAAAGGTGCAGTCATCCAAGTTGGATGGTGACCTGGTTCTTTTTGCTGGAGAGGACTCCACTCCAGCTGTGGGCATCCAATACCTACCACAGGGCTCGGAGAGTTTCCTCTCCTTGGTCTTCTGACCCCAGAGAGGGTGGGTCAGTGTTGGCTCTCTGGTTTGTTCACAGGATGAACTTCTTCAGACCCACCTAGTGTACGACTGGAAGCTGAAGTGTCTTGAGAAAGCAATTCTGAAACTACAGAATAACACCCGGTCTAGCATGGTAAGGCAGAACACAGCTGGGTTTGCTCCCAGCTTGCTGTTGGTGCCATGGATGATCTGCCTCCCTGTAAAATAATGACAGTCACAGTTCTGCCCAATTTCTATCAGGTGGTTTCTGGGGAACATCAGCAGAGCTCCTGGTGGAGGAGGAGATCGGGGCTTAGTCTGTGGTGAGGGAGATTTCAGATTAGGATGAGTTTTTAGGAGGAGCCTGTAGCAGGGGATCAACTGGATGGTTTCTTGCAGTTGAGTCTGTGTTCATTAAAGCCAAGCAAGCTAGGAATGAACTGGTCTAAAATTCACAATTTTGGCTGACATCTGAAGGATGAAGCCAGTGTGAGACGCTATGGCATGAGTTAAAAAGCCAAGGCTTGCTGGGCTGAGCTCTTACTATGTGTGGATTTGGCTTTCAAGTGTCTCTGTAATGCACAGTTCAGCATGGAGTTACTCCCAAATACGGCCTCCTGCGTGCTTTGGGCTTCAGGAGAACTTAGATCATGTCAAACCCTGCTGATGCTGTGGAGCAGGCCGGCCGTGCAAGAAGTTGGGTCTCACCCAGCCGAGCAGGAAATCTGAACCCCAAACTCCATATATTCCCAATAAAAGCCAAACTCACCAAGATCCTGTTTTTCAGGCTGATTTGTTTTAAGCCTAATGAAGATTTCTCCATCTCAGGAAGGTGGAACTCCCTTATGTAGGGTTTTGTTGGAGAATTATCCTCCAAATCGAGCCTTGGTTATATCATCCAGCTGCCTGTTGGGTGCATCTTTGGTGGATCATCACTCTTGAAGGCATCAACCACCCTAGAAGCAGTGTCACCTACTGCTAGGTGTGACTGACAGCATCACTTGTCATCTTCAAGCGAAGTGTGAGCCATAATGGAAGTTCTAACACCCAAAATAGTCACAGAGGTTGCCTAGTGTGACCAGCTTTGTAACAAACTTCCTTGAAAACCAGCCTCAGTCCTGTGTTTCAAAGCTACTGCAGCCACAACTGCCTCTGTGCTGTTGAGTTTTCCCTTTCCAAAAAGGCGTTGGATGTGCCAGTGTTTGCAGGGGAGGTACTCTGGGATGGAGAGGGGCCAATGGCAGCAGGAGATGACTTCAAGGATGATACAAGAGGTGACTTCTGTCCCATAGGCATCTGTCCTGGGTGTGGAAAGCCTTGTGGGAGGGTTTAGGCTGCTGGCGGTGGCAGTGGGGACAGCCCAGCGGGAGGTAGTGGCCTTTCTGGAAGAGAAGGGGAGCATGGCTGTGAACCAGACCAAGGGGATAAAGACCCACTTAGAGCACAAGTGAGCCTTCATTGAGAGTAAGCTCAAACTGGAGAAGATGCCTGCTCACAGCACCAAGTGCCTCTTCTTAAAATTGAGGTAGTCTGAGGTGTCTCCCATTACAGCGATTGGAGGGACGGGGAGTTGGGAGAGCAGTGCCTGCTCTGACCACCGCAGCACACCATACCTGCCTCCAAAATGCCTCCAATGCACAGGAGCATAGCCTAAACCAGGTGATTTTTTTTGTTTATTTTGTAGCTAGGAGTGCTGTGAATTCAGCTCAGGGATGGATGCTCTTCCCAGCGTTTACATCGGGCTGAAGGACACTGTCGCAAATCAGGTGGGTCATCATGGAGCTTGATATCTGCCTGTACTTATTTTTGCAAGCTGCACCTGGGGGGCTGTGCTTGCTTATAAACAGCTCTGTGCTCTCACCGAGTGGAAAAAGCAAAGGCACAGAAAATTGTGTGTGAACCAGGCTAGAGCCCACCATACTGCCTTTTCTTTGTGATAAGGTCATCGCTTTGGATTTGCAGCATTACACTGGCTGCTGTGACAGCAAGCACAACAGGCCAGGAACTTCTTTAATTTTTTTGATTTGCTGAAACTGGAAATTTTCAGAGGTCCTGACAAAACTTCCCTTAAGAATATGTTTCAAATCGAGGAGGGACTTTTTTTGTCAGACCTAGAGAGAATGAGAAACAGCCAGATAAAAAGGGCATGAACTCACAGTGTGAGCAACAGAGACCAAACTCCCTGCTCATCTCGCTCGAGACAAGACGCATGAACTCACCGTCCCGGTGAGTCCCCCTAGACCGAGGTCAGGCCGGGAGCTAATGCTGCTTTATCTTCTGATGAATAATTTCAGGTCTCATCTTGACAGGGAATGGGAAAACCATGGTGATTCCAAGATGTTTTCAGGGCTGACAGCACTGTTTCTTGCCTGGCTTTAGTGACAGGTTGTGATGAGGCGTTAGCAGGTTGTGGGATGATCAAAGGGAGAGGGGAGGGATTCCCTAGACCAAGAGGGATGCTGGGTCTCACTCCAACACCACCCTAGGGCAGAGGGCAAGAAGGACCAGGGGTTTATGCCTCCCTCCTTTTGGCTTTGTCCTGGTCTTTCTTCAAAATGATAAACAGCAGCAGTCAGCTGATAATGATTAAGGATGTGGAAAGCCTGAGCTTTATCGGTGTCCCTATCCCAGCTCCTTTTAAGTCTTTGGTAAAAATCTCACAAGCAGCAAGATAGATATAAACTGGCTGAGTTTGTACCCACACAAGGTAATGAGGCTGAGCCTCATCAATCCCACTAGTTTATATATATATATCAGCCCAGTTTCCTCAGCAAAGGCAAAACTACCACGTACCAGCAGTGATGAAGAGAAAGGCTTGTGCTGGCTGGGCTCAGTCTTGAAAAGCGCTTTGCACCCCGAATGTCCGCAGAGCTGGGGGCTCCAGCACCAGCGCCACAGCGCGTTTGGGATGCTGAACCAGCCTCCTGCCTGTTTTCAGGCAGGAATAATTTCTAATAAAACCAGCGGTCGAGGCAGCCCTGTGAAACAGCTCGGATGCCTCCAGGCAGCACGGGAGCGTGGCTGATCACAGCGGGACACGCAGCCCCTCACTTCTTGTCCGGCTCTGCATGAACCGCTTGCAGATCCCGGGGTCAGGGATTTCTTTCTGATCTCTGTCCCCCATGACTGTACGTGGTCGTGGGTTGGAGGAAGCAGAGGTGCTGTGCAGAGAACCCTGAGCCCCAGGATGTGTCCCAAAGTGCTGAGAGGCTGATGTGGGGTTGCCCAGCACGAAACTGGAATCAGGCCCCACATCTGCATATGCTCACAAAATCCCCTGTTTGGATGGAACCCCTACAGCACTGGCTGGCAGGTTCTCATCCTCCAGACAACATGAGGAGCTGGTCCTGCACAGCTGGGGATCATTGTCCCTGTCCCCATGGTGCACAAGTCCCAGGTACCATAACCCCTGGTTAGTGCTGGGTCAGCAATCATTTCTCTCTTTCCTTTTATTCCTGAAGAGGTCTGTGGGATCAAAATGTCTGCAACTGGACCACCCAACCATCACATCTTTGCCCCCCAGCCAAAGACGAGGGGTGATTTCCTTAAGTGTAGGTCCTAGGTTTGCTGGTTTTAACACTGACCTGCCTTTTAGGAGGAGGTGGAGGTTGGTAAGAGATTTCTGGAGACACCGAGTGAAATTCATCTCACCAGTCTGGGACACATACCTCCACATACGGCCCTGCAGCACGCTCGGGAGGTGTCTGTCTCCTGTCACTGACTGCAGGAGAGTCTCAGGGACTGGCTTAGACTCATAAGGACACTTAGGAAAGAAAATCCAAATTAAATAAAGGTTTATGGATTGAATTCCTTGGTAGGAGACTCTTACAAGGAATTCAGTTTACTTTCATTCATTTAAGGAGAACTAAACTGAGTCATGGCCATTTTAATTCTGCTAAAAATGGTACAAAGAAGTTTAATGTGACTTATCTTAATCCACTTGAAAAATCAATTCAGATTAATTTTCTTGAGTGTCTTGCATAGCTTGCCTTTGATTTTTCACATGTTAATTAGTTTTATTGTGCATGACTGAAACCTACCATGACCGTAGCTTCCATCAGTCACAGAAAATGCTCCTGTGGTTGTGTGCAGACTTGAAATACAAAGCTCATGTTGGGTAACCAGGACAGAGAAAGTTCCTGGATAGACCCTGTTAACAATTGCACGGAATCACTGTGGTTAGCAGGAATTTCTGGAGGTCTCGAGTCCAGCCCCTCTGCTCAGAGAAGGCTCACTGGAGCAAGCTGCTTGGGGCCATGTCCAGTTTGGTTTGAGTATCTGCAAGGATGGAGACTCCAAAATCTCTCTGGGCAAACTTTTCCAGTATTTGACCAGCTTTACAGCCAAAAAAAGGTTTCTTTTATGTTTCAAACCCACTCTTTTCTATATTTCTGTTTCCCTTAGCATGTGATGCAGAGCTGGAGACAACCAAAAAGTGACCGGCACTGCTGCCTGGGAACAGCTGTACCCAGATCATCCTGGAAGATTTGAACACTGGCATCAGGTGCTGTTTGACAAGAGTTTGTACTTTAGTCACTACTACTTTGAGGTTGAGATAGCTGGGGCTGATGTTTACCTTGGCATGATGTACAGAAGCATTCACCAGACAGGTTCAGAAAGCAATAGCTGCACCTTGGGGAACAATTTCTCCTGGAGCATCCTGCAGAATGGGAAAGGGTTTTCTGCATGGCATGGTGATGTGGAGATGCCTCTCAAAATGGATGTGTTTGGTGGGATAGGGGTCTACCCAAAATACCCCAACAGGACCTTGTCCTTTTCTGGACGTCACCTACGATGATGTGACCTTGATGCACCAGTCTGAATATAATTTTGGTGAGCCCCTCTACCTGACTTTTGGCATTTAAAGAAAGAAAACTGTCAGTATAACGTGGCTGGGGGAAGATGCTGAGAAGATCCCAGCCTCCTTGCATGCTTTGGGGAGCTGCTCCCTTGAAAGCACCTGAGTCGGAAGAACTGGTCAGTGCTTAGGTTATGGGGTGATGCCAGTGCTTTTGCTGCAGGTAGCTGGGTGAAGAAGGGTGAGATGTTTCAATAAAGACTCTTGTCATCAAATGTGGTTCTGAGCATCCGATATTTTAGAGGTGGACAAGGTGCGAGAGTTCATGCAGCTGCTTGTCCAGGGATCAGTACAGCTTGCTCCCAGCAGTATATTCATTAACATTCTGTTTAGTATGAGTTAAAGCCTTTTTTTTTTTAGTTTCTTTCCCTCCCCACCAAGGATGGTGTTGGGTCACTGCCCTGGCATGCTGATCTCACCATGCTGGTGGGAGTGAGCAGACAGAAGCCAGGCAGACCGAGGTTGTGTTGCCATTTTCCCTGCTGTGCCTGGATAAACGGTCTCAGCCTCCAGCTCAGTTCTCAACTGGTTTCAGGATCAGGGTGGCACTGGGGTGGTGAAAGGTCCCTCTTGGTCCTTTCCCTGCCCCAGGTCTGCACCGAGAACAAAGCGTGAGGCTGGAGGAGGGATTGCTTCTGGCAGGAGGGAGTCCGTGCTGTGTCCCCCAGGAACAGCCCCAAACCCCCTTCCTTCTCCAGAGGCAACCGGGCAGGGGGTAGCAGGTGCTAGTGGTGAGCAGGGAGCAGCAGAGGCCCCCAGATGTGACAACAGAAAGCTGAGATGGTGAGGAAGCTCTGTGCCGGGAGGGAAAGCCCATTCCCCAGCAGAGGAGCAGCACCGCAGCTCGCACCCCACAGGAGGGGGCTCTCAGCCCGCTGCTGGCTCTGCTGCCTTCCTCTCCCTCCTCCTCTCCCTCCTCCTTTGCCAGCGGTAGGAGGGACAGGCCCCTGCAGCCCCCAGCCCCCACATGCCATGGACACCCCCATGGTGTCTCCCCTTTCCTGTCCCCCGGCCACCCAGCCTGGTTGCTGTGTCCCCCTCGCTCGCTGCCGTGGGACCCCACAGAGGTCCCGTGTTAAAGGTGGGTGACGGAGGGGTGCTCTCGGGTTGGGTGATGTCTTACCTGCCCCAGCACCCCGGCACCCTGCTCCCCTTCCCCTTGGCAGCTTTCGGCTTGACCGCAGCTTTCAGAGCCCAACCGGAGCACAGGGGGCGGCTGGAAGAGAAGGCGG